TTATCATTGCACAGTTAATGTTGGATAATCCAACCTATTAATGAAAAATGTCTTGAAACCTCAATGAAAGAAGCCTTCCAATTTAAGCCAGTTTTGTGGTTATTAATGAAAGTAAAAAGAAGAAAAAACTATAGAGTGCTGTTGAAAATGCATGACTCATTGATTCTTAACAGGTCAAAATGTAAAAGCACAGCATCCTAAAGATGAAAAGAAGCAATGTATAACTCTGTGTTGCTTTCTAGGAAGAAAACAGCTGCTAAGAGTAAAGCATTTGCCGTATGTTATCTGTCCCACCAGCCAGATAAAACTGAGAAGTCATGACGAAGCCATTACCCACGTGCAAACTTTGTGTTTTCATACAAGATTACTTTATGAATATTCAGTTCCTTGGCAAAACTTTCTGTTCCTATAATGCCAGTCTGATTCTTGCATGCTAACAGAAACATAAAAATGAAAGCAAATGAGGGAACATGAACATTTGAGTGGCTGGCATAATGCCCACAGTATGGGTCATTGCACAATTTTCTTGAGCATTTTTACAACAACTTTTTCCCTTTCCTCCATGGCCGTACCACCGGACTGTTAAGCCTCCCATGGCCCCATTCGCCACATAGCTGACATTCCTTTTCTGGGACTGGAGCTGTGGATTCATCAGCCCTTAAAACTCTGTCACTGCAGAGCCTGGAACAGCACTGCAGTGCAAGGCGGACGGAAGTACATGTAAGGGACTAAGTTTCTTTAAATCATAAAATATATTACAATTTATTTCACATGAAGTAAATAAATGTTCAAATTTGATTCAGAACAGTTTTTTTCTGAAAAAGAACAGTGATGTGGTCTCCAATCAATAAAAGAAAAAAAACGCATCTATAAACTGTCCATAAGCCCATCCTTAAGGAATGCACATGAATGACTTAACAGTTTGACACCAAATATCTTCCTCATTGACTAATGCAAAACTCATTAGTTGAAATTCACTGCATTCAGCAGCACTTGCAGCACATAGAAAAAGTTCAGTGTGGTAATGCTTGTGAGCGGGAAACATAACGAGTGGCTGTTTTGAGTCATAGTCAATAAGTGTTATTAATAAGTGTCCTTATTGATGTTAAAAATCATGTCTCTCTAACTGCTGGAACAACAACAATAGTGATAATCCCAGGCACTCCTGCAGCAATAAAACAAAGAAAAGAAAAAGCAAAGAAATTTGTTTATATATGTATATGTATATATATTTCATAGAGAGACAGACAGATAGATATTCCTATCCCGCTTTTTCTCTCTAATAACATTTACCTTTTTTTTTATTTAATTTAGCTCATCAGTTAAATGTTCCTAAGCAATGGTGTGTTTTCCTGCTGTTGACCTCACAGCTGTGTGACTTGAGCATTATCTCAATGAGTGAGCCTGTGCTTATTCAGCTGTTGTTTTCAGATGCAAACAGTGCAATGACACATGGACACCAACTGGGTGACCACAGGCACAAAAGGAGGAGACGGGAAAATGACAACAGATGAAAGAAAAGATGACAGTTAGGACACTGTTTCAAGTCATAATGGGCATGGATTTTATACATACAAACCAAGGATTGTTAATGATCATCAAATGTTCTTATAGATAAGATCTATAACGTATGATTTAGAAATAAGTGATTTTATCTTATTCAGAAAGCGTACATATAAACACAATCGCCCAAAATATTTCATAACTGATGAAGGTTCAACAAGTTCTTTAACATAACAGCCGACCAAGTTCTGCTAAGTGATCATGAACGAGTACAGAGGGTGATTTCTATTTTAGTATAAAGGGATTTGTTGGACTCGCCACTATTCAAAACATTGGGAAGATCTAAGGCCAGAAATTATTTTCGAATCATCTATTTTCATATTTGTATTATTGTTCTTTGTCCTTTGAATGTGTTCTATGATTATGCGGGTCTGGAGAGAGACAAACTGTCTATCATCAGCTGAGGAAAATAATAAATCTAAGAATCTAAGCATGGTGGTGTTAGCATCATTCTATTTGTCCAGCTGGAAAAAATAATGACTTTGCTAATTCAATAAGATCCACAGAATCTATATCACATTCATGTCCATTTTTGCTGTATTCAATGGAGCATTGAGCTAAATGAATATGATTAAAATACAATCAAGAAAGCTAAAAGTGGATATAAGTGTCGATACAAAAATGGATATAGTGGTTATAAAGTGTACAATAAAAAAAGTGAATATAAGTGGACAATACAAAGGACAATCAAATTACCGGTAGGAAAGGGAATCAATAAATGAGGCACATGAAAGAAAACAAAATAACATTACAGTATGTTCATAAAGAGGGTCAGAAAAAGAAAATCTTGTGAAAGGATTTAAACAGGATCAAGTAACAGAAAAAAGTCAAAAACATAGAAGAAAGGGGGAAATGGAGAAAAGACATCCAATGGTTATGATAACAAAGAAAAAAAGGACCAAAACAGAAGGCACAGTAGGCTGAGATAGAACAGTTAATCAAGTAAGAAAAGGAATAAAAAAAAGAGAAGCAGAATATTGTAGACAAAATATTTAAGTGATTTTCGGATGGATAAAAAATACTAGATAAGAAAAAAGAGCAAAAACCATGAGAAGATGGTATTAAGTGAATGGAAAGATGTAAAAAAACATGCTTTTCAAAAGAGTTCTAAAGCATGCAAAGAGGATTAAATATGATGCCAAGGAATGTGTAAAGGTGATAAAGTCACGAAGAAAAAGTAAAGATTAAGAGAAACTGAGGGACAGATCGAAGAGTAGATCCTCCGCTTCTCTCTCAAGGCTTATTCGAAGGCATGTTCGTCACTGTTATATAAGTGCCTGAGCAGAGTCTGTCTCACTATTACCGTCATTTCACAGTCTGTGGCTTCACACTGTGACGGGGATTGTTTTCTATTTACTTTTAAAAGTTAAGAAGTCTTCATTGGCTCCAGGGATTTCAAAGGTAACCTTTGGGAGTCTTAGCATATTCATTTTACTTCGTTTTACAAACATCACTTCTGAGCTTTTCTAATACCCACAGCTATCACACACCCCTCTAACAGATTTTCCAATTTCATGGGAAGGAGAAGTTGAAGGGGGGTTTTGTGATAGATAGATACATTTAAAAAAATGGCTATCTGAAATAAGACATTGCTTGTGACTTTTTATAGTGGAAAAAAACTACAAAAAACTGTAATAATAAAGTAACCTTTTATTTTTATACCTGACACCTAGATGAATTTTAAAGTTTGGGACCTACTGCAGCCAAAACCAAAGATATAAGTTGAAAACTCTTCTATAAATGTGCTATTTATACAATTATATTTAAGGACATAATTATTCACATACATTTTAATTCATTGTAACCTTTAAATAAAATAAAAACATTTTCCTGATTGGATGTAGTGTAATAGTGCTTTGGAGTTCTGATTGAATCTTACTCACATGAATCTATAGAGGAAGCTAAATATTAGGATTACGATATGGAGTAACCTCGCCTGGGAAGCCAAATGCTTGCAGAATTTGTGGAAACAAACCAGACTCCATCTTGTATCGCTCGAGACTGTTTGAGACAAGCCCAAAAGGAATGGCCAATCACATTGCAGTACTACGGTTTAGGGCAGGACATACAGCTGCGACGAAAGCAAGAGCTGCTGAGCCCACAACCGAACCAAAGTAAACATAGCGGCACAGGAGGATGTACTGTACATGTAGCTGCTGCTATCACATCTGTTGTGTCAGAATCCACAATTTCGTCTATGAAAGAGGAACAGTGAAAGTGCAAAAGTGTAAGTTGTTGTTGTTTCTCCTGGTTGAAATGTTCTGTTGAAAGTCCAGAATTTTATCCGAACACATTCAATGGGAGCTGTCCCAGATTAATAATGTATGGAACTAAACCTAATCTTTACCCATTTCTAATTATGCTTGCCAGGTTAGAAAAGGAGTTTGTACAACTTAAAGTTATAAGAAATCATCAATCAAAAGATGGATTGATAAAAATATCAGTGGAAACGTTTAAGTCAACAAATACAGCATCTGAATGCTGTGATGAAAATAAAGGCTTCCCTATTATTAGAAGAACATAAATAATTGCATTTTTTATCAAAACATGAATGAAAATAAAGAAGTATTTATTTTTTTTACCCTAGTAATCTGTAGAGAAAAGTATTGTTAATGAGTTTTTTGTGGGGTTTTTTCATGTAATGTTATCTAAATCTCATACAGACTCTTGTTCTTTTTCTATGCCTACAGTTACTACTGGTCCTTAAAGGCAACCAGGTGGTCAGATGTGTTATGATTTTCAGAAATTGATGGACTGCTCGGGTGTTGATTGCTTAGGATACTATCTTCATTTTCACCTTTTCTGTCATGGTAGCTTACAAAATCAACAGACCTGTTTGTTGTCTATGATTGTGAGCTACCATAGCAGAAAACAGACTGAGGAAGCTAATATTTAAAGCACTCTGCACCAAAGCAGCAATAAAATCCCAGCAAATAACAATCTTACATCAGGTGTGACCAATAGTTGAAGTAAGATTGGCCAAATGGATGATTAACAGTCTGCTCATAAATTCTTCATGCTTGAGAAATTGTAACCGTAATTGTAAAAAAGTGTGTCAATAAGTTTTGCAACTGCAGTACTGATCAAACTGATAACGCATTGGTGATAAGGATTTCATATACTGTATAGATCTGATCTGAATAAAGCAGAAAACTTCTGCAACAATGTCCCTGAGACAGATGGGATCAATCTAAGCATGTCTGCTCATAATCATAACGGAGAAAAAAGACTATTCCATACAAACTGTCAAGCATGGTGGTGAAGGTGGTGACGATGGATTGACATACTTTTGTGATCTAATAAAGATCTTACTACATTCATAATAAGCATAAAATCTTTCATGCAGCATCTTTTTAATCATATGTATTAGCAGTGTATTTAAAACCTACATTTTTGTTTTCTGTTGGTTTTATACGCATGTTTACCAAATAAATGTGTATGTGGGGATCACGCCTTAGTGGGGTTAGACCATAACAGTTAGACCGAAACCGAATTAAAACAATTTCATTTATGAAGATAAAAAAAGTTTTTGTTTACTGCTGATCAAAGTCAATCAAAACTTTTATCTAAAATTTTTATCTAAAATACACTAAATACATACCGAACATTAATGCTTATATTCATGTATATTCATACCCGTAAAGTATGTCCATTATAAGGATTAAAGTGTCAGTCCCAACGAGTTTTTGACCGCAAGCTAACCTGTGAATTCAATAACAATTTCTTCAAAAGAAGAAGGAATAAAATGAATAGGTTGGGATGCTTACCCTGCTCCTTGATCTGCCTAATCTGCTTCACTGTTTCTTTGAGGATGGCACATTTGTCGGGTTTGACGTTGAGGTCGTCAATGTCGTTGATGTTGGCAAAGATCAGCTCTGCCAGCTCCTCGATATATTTGTTCTCCTGCTCCCTGTTTCGCCTCTCCGTACTTCTCTTAGGGCTGCAACACAGCAAGAAATTATGCCAACAGCATGAATAAACTCAGCTGGAGAAGAAAAGGCCTAAATGGTGGTAATTGCTAAGACAAACAGTGGAAAAACATCACCGCTCTCTGCCGAACAATACGCCCCAATGCTTTTGTCTTTGTGCATTGACCAGCTCTTTTCCGTGGGAGGAAGACCTCCCCAGTGACCCTAAATTAACTTTGTGACCTCTCTATGACCTGACAGTAACGAGTCGCTTGACCTCCTTGTAAAGAACATGATGCATCATTAATACAACAACTTTTCTGCTGTTACATAAACTCCCGGCTGTATAAAGGCAACAGTAACACTTCTCTTCTTGCACTTTCCAAAACCCAAATACTTCTTTCTTTCTAAAATGGACTATTGAAAGCAATACATAATGTATGTTAACATTCGGAAAAGGTTCCATATAAGTAAAAAAAAAATTATCTGTTAACACACTCATCATGTCTAGCCAAATATCCCACATCGGATTAAGTGGTAACTTTGACCATTTTAAAACATAAATATAATTTCAGCCAAACTATATTCTATTGGAGCTCTGGCCGTATGTTTAGGGATTTGTGTTTGATGGAAGGCAAACCTCTACCTCTTTTTTCAAGTATTTAGCACTCTATAACATGTTTGTAAATCCCTTTATTTAGCTCTGTTAAACTTTCAATTGCACCTGAGCAGCATCACCTAAAGCATCATGGTGCCCCCACTATGATTCATTGTGGATATGGGGATGCAGACAGTGATGTGCAATGTTCTGCCTCAAACTCTTATGCAGTTTAGAGATTGGCTTCTATACAAATGCACTGAAGGCACCACTTGCACTGGGGTATCAGAGAAAAGGGCTGAACATGAATGCAAACCACCTTTTGGACTTTTATGTAATGAAAATAAAGTTAGTTTTTTGTTTGTAACATAAAAAAAAACAAAAAACAATGGAGTATATAGGCAGTATATCTTAAGGAGAATAGACTACCAGTATCATAGAAAAATAATGCACCGACTACCAGTATCATAGAAAAATAATGCACCGACAAACACAAGCTCTCTCTATTGATTTTTAAAATCTTTTTAAAGATTTTTCACCTGGGTCCCAGAAGGTCCGACTGACAGTCTTTCCTCTTTAGAGACTCCCCTTTGGGGGGCTCAGGAGTGTCCCCCCCTCCGCTACTCATCTTCAGCAGTTATCAGCACCTAAAGCAATAGAAGACAAGAAAATAAAACAGAGTTCAGCTATAATTATGTATAATTTAAAAAAAAGGATTGGTCTTTTTATATACCAAAAAAAATTATCACATACAAAATGTATACCATTGTGACTGACAGACTAGCATATTTATGCAAACAGGGGGCATCCTGCCAGCTCTTTAGCTTACATTTAGCTTAAACCACCTGTAGAAAAAGGCCTGGTTGGGACTAATGAAACAGGACTTTGCTTTTCCAAATATGTGGTCAATTACTTTCAAGTAATCCATCCATCCATCCATCCATCCATCCATCCATCCATCCATCCATCCATCCATCCATCCATCCATCCATCCATCCATCCATCCATCCATCCATCCATCCATCCATCCATCCATCCATCCATCCATCCACTCCCGCTTAGTCCTCCGGCAGTCTATGGACAGTCTGTTGCAGCTAAGTAATTCAGCTACATTTATTTATAAAGTACCAATTCCAAACAACAGTTAGTTAATACCAGTCCAAGTTCAAAGTCAGTTCCATAAATTCCATAAATAACTTAGTTTTCAAACATTGCAATAAAGATTAAACTTTTTCTTGAAGCTGGTTAAAAGGTTTCTCAATGAAAGCCGACCGCAGGATTGAGGCATTCAACTCTCTAAGAATGAGCATGAAGGAACATCTTATAGTCACTTGCACAGTGAAGGTGATTCTGCAGAAATCTATTAACTCTGACCATGAGCGCAGCAACAGTAGAGCGGAGAAACAACTCTTTAACTGGAAGAAACCGCCAACAGAACCAGGCTCCATGTAGGCGGTCATCTGCAATGACTGGATTTGATTGATGTATAAAACCTTTTTCTCTGAAAATGAAATTAAATGGGTTTTATTTGTAAAAGAAAAATGTGAAAAAAGAGCACTTTATTTTATTTACATTAAAGGTTTTTAAACGTACCAAAAATCAACCAAGTAGAAGTCAGAGTGTGGCTATCATAGCATTGAGACGGGGCCTAACTGAGCATGCAATTTATTTATTTTTTGCACAGCAACAGAGTAATTAACTCTCAAGTTCGTAAATCTTTACTTTAGTTATTAATAGCAAAATAATTGTGTGTTAATGCATAGTATTTACTATTGTACATGTTCACAGTGTCAGATTCTATAGAAATAAGAGAGGCAAAGTTAAAGTAAAATATTCTTCTGTTTCCTCTCAGAATCTGTCTGTACAACTAATAACAATTTTCAAATTATTTTAATCTCCCGATGATGTAAACAACCAGCTCAGAGCATTATCAAACGCAGATTATGACTCACAAAAAACAATGTATCACTGTAATGAGCCTGAAGGCAATATGTGGGCAGCCCAGTGGGAATACAGTGGGTGTCAGTAATTACTTTAGATAGAAATAGCTAATTCACATAGGCACTTTCGCTTTTCCCACAATAATTTGAAAATGTCTGTTTTAAATATGATTGATGCTGAGAATGTTTGGAGAATACTTCTGTAATCTGGTTCAAAAATAGGAAGAACATAAAACTCAGGCGACATTTAAATAAAGCTTTTACTGAGCAAGAAAGATGCACCATATGGCAATATCATGCTGCTAGACTTCCCCCATATGGTTCAGTAAAAGGGACACAATTTAGACAACAGCAAAGGCTAGAATCTAGCCAGAGCTGTTGGGAACTGATGGGCCAACAGGTACCTCTTTTCACTTCAGTTAGTTCCAGCAGCAGGATAGTAACAAAGACAAAAAACAACAAGTAGATAGATAGAATAGAATATCCCTTAGAAAATGTACATAAGGGATAAAAAAAAACCTTACAGGTACATATTTAAAGAGTTATGTTGACATTATTGCACATATTTGAAAATCTTTTCTGATTAAATGAGAAGCGAAAGTAGCTTTTCCTAAATGATATTACTCAGCCACCCATAGAGCTTGCTCTTATTAGTTTACTCAATTTGTTAACAATTTATGTTTGAAGTGTAAGGAAGCATGGCCATAAAATATTCCATAGGCCAGTAGCAAATATTTACTATAATTTGAAATGTTGTCTAAATTTAGTCATTCACATTTTCAGAATCTGAGAATAATGGTACAAAGTACTTGATTCACACTAAATGTTGTCCACAATTTTTTTCTTGGTTTAACTTTAACTTAAATTTCATTAAACTCTTTTGCATCATCGTTTACCTGCTGTGAGTCTTGAATGGACCCAAGTTATTAGAATTTCTGTACAACTTTTTATCTATCATAATAAAATATTTGCCTCACTTACAGTATTGGCCTTGTTTGGAGATGGATGAATACAGTTTTGGATATATAAAAATATTAGCTAAGCAAAGCTCCTGCAGTAAAGGTTCAGGTTTGGTGATAGAGCCAGTTTACTGAGCATTTCTAAAAGTAGTAACGAAAAAAATTGTCGAAATTATTTTAACAATTAGAAAGATACACATAGTGTGAATATTCTCAGTTTTAAAAAGAATTTCTAAAAAAGATCAGGGCAAGAAAAAATGTTTTAGCTTTAGTTTCCCTTAAAATTGCTGAGCTGATACTACCGATTATTTTTATTCTTTTACAGCATTTTATTGTCGTTACACTGTCAAACACTGTCAAATTAACTCTACATCTACATTTAACCCATCCCCTGTGGAGCAGAGGGCTGCCATTGTGCGGCACCCTTGGAGCAGTGTGGGGGTTAAGGGTCTTGCTCAGGGACCCAGAGTGCAGGCTGTGGGAGTGGGGCTTGAATTTAGAACCTGAGGATTCCAACCCACCTAACCACTAGGCCACCACTCTCCAAAGCAGGCGTTAGTGTGAAGGGTCTTGCCTAAGGCCCTGTGAATTCAACCCACACTGGCAGCTCATTCCCCCAAGCTGGGATACAACTCAGGCTTCCTGTTTGCAGGACGGGTGACTTAGCCAGCCACTACAGCTTAATCTGTCTTTGGCTGTGATTGGCTGAATTTTGTACCAATGAAAATAAACTCCTACTCTACCTGCATGGATTCCCAACAGAGCTGAGGATTTGCTGAAGATTCAGCTCTGCCTGTTTGCTACAAAGACTCCCTTTTACCCGGGTAGTTATTTGGTTACCCTAAATGGGACCCCTCGTTAGTAAAAATACAGGTTCCAAAACACACCACTTGGCACTTGCATAGAAATTCCGAAATGCCAAGATCAAGACCTTAGAATACCCGTTTACTGAGAAATGGGCAACATTAAAGTTCTGACACATCTATTAAGCTACAAAACTCAGATTACCATTGTCACCCGAACCTGATGGCCAGATGAAGACGTCAATGTGTGTTGACTAAAATAAAAGTGCAACCATCTTATCATTTGCCACCACCTGTTTTTCTTTGGGCTTCAAATCAACTGGTTTCCACAAGGAGTTTTTCACTGGCAGACATTATTTCCCAGTTTTATATCTGCTTACTCATTTTACAAATAATGATTGGGAAGAAAATATTTAACATGATTAGCTTTTATTCTGCCAAAGTGCATTTAAGACCTCTAAATTAAGACATAAACATGATATGCAAATTCTTTATTTCATACGATAATAAATCCACATAAAATTTACTTTTTAGCACAATTAGACAACTTCAATATTTAAAACCAGGGGGGGATCAATATTTGTAGGGACAGTGTGCCTTTAAGGCCCTTAAACAGGCTGGGACACATCACCTAACAGTTACATAAGAGCCGGTCAGTGTCAGTGGGAATGATACTGCACAGATGAAGGCAGAAGAGAGGGATAAGCAAAAGGGAAAACAACAGGGAGACGGAGACAGAGAGAAAGATTAGTGAGAGTGAATCAGTGTAAGAAAGACAGAATAGGAAGAGAGGACAAGAAAAAAAAGGGTACACAAAGAAATGCACTAATGGACGAGTTGTCAGGTAGTTTTTTTTATTAGGAGAAATGTTTCCAGCACAGATTTAATGTTGACAAGTACCCATGCTGTACAATGATAAAAGAAGGGGTAAACAGAGTGGCAGCAGGAAGAAATGGGAGGTGGGTCATTTGTTGCTCTAAATAATCAAGCCTGAAGGCAGAGAAAAGTATGGCCTAATTACACCATAAGGGATAAGAAGACAGGGGGAACTAGCAGATGACAAGATAATACTACTGAATAAAATCTTTACATGTAACAACTAGAGCAGAAAAATAGTAAAAGCTTCAATAATCAAATTTAGAAGTACATTTTGTTATCTTTACTGACCGAACACTATCAACACTTCTTTTCATGACTGAATTTTCATGCTAAGAGCCTGGCTTTAGCGTTGAAAATCGTCTTTCCATCTACAGCAAGTAAAAATGTGGTAATGCACCGTGAATTTAATCATCTGATTACCGCGGGCCAAATACCTGTTAAAACAAAAATTGACTTGTTGAGGAGACAAAATTCCCAGAAAATGCAGCGTGAAAACTTTGGATATTCCCTGATTTTTACTGCCTCCAGTCCAACCAGCATAACCTCCCAATACTGAGGCATTCATATGCCATAAAGCAAGGCGACCTCTCAGACAAACACCCCCTCCACTGAACTGCAGCACATATGCATGATAAATTGATGTAGTTCACCATACTTAGCATATAGTGCAAGAAAGAATCCTATTTAAAATCCAAAAACTGCCTACAGAATTCTACTAATGAGTATATTGAGGTTAACTATGTGTTCCTAACAGGGCAAAAACTCAGATCCCATCTCATCAGCAGTTTCAGTAGCAGCAGTAAGACTCCCAAACTTAAAATATAACTAAAACTCTTTAGAAGAATCTTTGCTCTTGCCTTGGGTTTGTTTGAAGAGTGACAATTTAGGGCAAAAAAGGTGACATAACATTATAATCTTATGAAACATCTCGTGTTTAAGTATCACAGTACATGCAACAGCTCACTGAAGAGAAAAATCCCTCATGATGGTGACAGAAATCAATAAAAAAGGCTCCTTCAAAGTTTCAATCAATCACAAAGAAGCTACACACACAGACATAAAGTCT